GCCATCGAGTGGAATCTGACTCATAGCGACCTCCCTTGGGTTTCCAAGGCAGTATCTCTATGGAAGGAGATTGCCCAGTCTTCCTTCTGAGGAGTGGCTGGTGGGTTTGAACCTCCAGTCTTCTGGTTAGCAGTCAAATGCCTTAGGCACTACGCCACCAGAGCTCCCTTAAGATTGATGAGTCTTCTAAATTATTCTCTTCATGATATATCCTCCAGGCTGGTGCTCTTGGTAGGTCACTGGGTATGCTTCATGGTGGCTAATCATTGCCATGAGGTAATTGGTAATGATGCTGCCTGACACAAAACATCAACTGATGGGCAGCTGTGGCTAGCAAATTCAACCAGGTAACCTAAAGATTCACAGAGAAACCGTGGAAGTAGCCATGCCAGTTTCCTCATCTTCTCTTTTGTTTGTTAACTTTCAGGACAGGCTCCCTTCTCCCCTGCTGGCTTTAACACCCAACTCCTGGTCAGATCTTGGCACTGCCCATCTCCAGATGCCTCACATTTCCAGCTCTTCATTCTTCTCACATCTCCCCACATCTCTACAATGAAACGAATCCTCCACCTTACCCAGGACTACGAGCCACCTGCCTCAGAATCTCTCCTCCTACTGGATTTTTGACCTCTGAAATTCCTCTCCTACTGTCACCTCTCTAACTCTCCAACACTTACTGAACTTGTCCTCTGTCGGCATGACTCTGAGTCTAGGAAGGAACAGGGTCTAAGGTCTCTTCCTCAAGTTTCACAATTCATTAGTCCATTCCCCCTTCACCTGCCTCCTCTCCAATCTGAGTGGGATTATCTCAGGTGATTGTTCAGAAATATTTCCTGGGTAGCATAGTGCCTAAGGCACTTGACTGCTAACCAGAAGGCTGGCAGTTCAAATCCACCAGCCACTCCTCAGAAGGAAGGTTGGGCAATCTACTTCCGTAGTGATATCGCCTTGGAGACCCAAGGAGGGGTCTCTATGAGTCGGTCCGACTCAATGGCAAACAGCAACAATATTTTTACCTTACTCAATTGCATCACCAACCCCAAGAGCAGGGGAAGTCACTACCTGCGTGAGCACTTCTCGATCAAGTGACACTATACATTCATGCTATTTAACATTCCCTGGACCTTTGCTTTTTTTTCCCAATGCACTTCTAGCAGTTCCACAGCAAGTGTACTAACTAAACCTGCCACAAGCACTATCTCCAAGTTCACATCCTCCTGCCGCAGGGATGATTTAGCATCTTTACTGAGACAGTACCATGTTGTTGTTGTTGTTGTTATGTGCCGTCGAGTCAAACCCGACTCATAGCGACCCCTCCTTGGGTTTCCGAGGCAGTATCACTACGGAAGTAGGATTGCCCAACCTTCCTTCCGAGGAGTGGCTGGTGGGTTTGAACCGCCAGCCGTCTGGTTAGCAGGCAAGTGTCTTAGCCACTATGCTACCAGAGACAGTACCATAGGCCATTTAAAGGCATCAATTGCCCTATTTTGCGAAATTTAAAAAAAAAAGTCTTTATTCATCCTTTCTTCTACTATCTATAAAACAGAGGGCACAAAAAGGCAGTCCAAAAGTTGAACCTAGCCCACTGCCATGTTTTGTTTAACATCAAGGGACTTTTTTTTTTTTTTTTTAAGACTACACAATGAAACCTTTAAAAAATTATCACTGAAAATTTTTAATCATGATAAAATTCACAACATGCATGGCTTTTAAAACATAAATCAGCTGTCAATTAAAAAAAAAACAAAAACAGATTCCACATCATGAAAGTCATACTCCCACCTTCTCTTGGATAAGAGATAAGACATCCCTGGGTCCACAATGGGTAATCGGCTACTACTAAGTACAGGCATTTGTCCTCTGAGACAGGGCATGAGTTCACCACAGTCCCTTTCTACCAGTCAGCCACTTCTCTACATAGTCACCCCATCTGGTCCCAGTGAGCATTCGAATTTGTGGCTCCTTGATCTGGAGAAGGGTCACAACTCTTCTCACTACCGAGGGCTGACATGTCCTCAACCTCACCCCTTCCACCACCGCTGGACTGGAGAATCCCATTGCCTCTGGCATCTCTGTGAATGAGCAGCATCTACTCAGTACCTCCCCTTCCTCTCTGAAATTTGACTTTTTTCTTATTCCTCAATCTCTTTTCCATACCGTGTGCCACCACTTCCTCCATCAAATTTTCCTTTGAATAAGTGTCCTCTCCCCCCCGCCCTCCATTAACTTCCCTATCATTCACTATGTGCTGGAATCAGACTTAATGGAAACTTACAACAAGGCATTATCAAGGTCTCTGGGGACACAAACAGTTTGTACTCAGTTCCGACTCATAGCGACCCTTCCTTGGGTTTCCTAGGTGGTATCACTACACAAGTAGATTGCCCAACCTTCTTTCCAAAGAGTGGCTGGTGGGTTTGAACCGCCAGCCTCTGGTTAACTGTCAAATGCCTTAGACACTACGCCACCAGAGCTCCTTACTAATCTACAGGCTGGTGATTTGAACCCACCCAGCAGTGCCACTAAAGAAAGGTCTGGCAAGCTGCTCCTGTTAAGATTACAGCTAAATACCCTATGGAACAGTTCTACTCTGTAACACACAAGGTTGTCAGGAGGCGGAATCACTCTGGGCCAAAGGGTTAGGCATTATCACTATCCCCCACCTCATCTCTCACCAGCAAAAGAAGGCTTAGCTCTTTTCAAGTATCATTTTAATAGCAGGAAAACAAAGTAAACCACAGGGGGGGACTCCAAACAGTGGAACCCACTGTTACAATTTTAAACTCTTACTCTAAATCCTCCTTTCCTCAAACCTTCTCCCCCACAGTTTAACTTTAAACAGTGTAAATGATGAAGTTTGCTTTCCTATTCTTAATTTTTAAGACCATGTTAATGTTGTCTTTTCCTCAAAAAACTATAAAACAACAGACCCAACCTAATTAACAGAACAAAAAAGCCCTCAGTGTGGCTTCAGCCCTCACCCATCAGTCTCAGGGAAAAAGTCAGAGGGTGGGGTTTAAGAGTAACAAACATCACAAAGATAAACAGGCAGGTGAGACCTACTACCAAGACAGTGCAAGACACACCTTTTCCAGTTAGCTTCTGCTAATCATGGCTGGGAGCTCTGGTAGCATAGTGGCTAAGATACTTGCCTGCTAACCAGACGGCTGGCGGTTCAAACCCACCAGCCACTCCTCGGAAGGAAGGTTGGGCAATCCTACTTCCGTAGTGATACTGCCTCGGAAACCCAAGGAGGGGTCGCTATGAGTCGGGGCCGACTCAACGGCACATAACAACAACAATAACGATCGTGGCTGAAACTGCCAGAGAACTGGAGCTAGGAAGGTCTGGTGGGAGGGGCAGGCTTTTCCCGTAGAGCAAAGGAAATGCTTTCCATGCTTGGAGTGAGCCTTGAGTAAAAGCAGAACTAGGAGCCAGCAGAACCGTTCTGACAAAGCTGAGAGCTGCTAAAACAGAAAACTGAGAAAATATGGTGGGGTTGGATTGTTAAGAGTTTTATAAGTCAGGGAAGGAGTTTAGACTGACTGAGACAGGCAAAAGGAGACTCTATTAGGTCGCCAGGCAGAAGAATGACTTTGTGCAGGAGGATCAGTCCAATGCAGGGTGGACCAGGAGGTAGAGAGGAATGGCTTGATAAGGAAGTAAGAGAGGGAAACATACAAAGAATGAGGGTCCTAACTGCAGCAAAAAAATGGACACAGAAGAGGCTTTCAGAAAAAAGTGACAGGATTTGGACAAATTTGGGGAGTGGAAGAAATTGGGTAGCTTGGGGAAAAGCAAGGAGGGAAGTGAGAATTAGTACAACTATCTAAAGTCAGACAACTGACCTAAAAATTTAAGAAAGGCAAACTTGACTCAGGATCTTCACATTTTAAGTTAAACTGTGGAGAAGAATCAAACAGCCAAGGGTCTTATCTCCCCTAAGCATGTTCAAAATACGCTTCCAGATTTTATTAGTTCATCAGATTCTTCAATGACACAGTGAAACCTTAGTAGGATGTCAACAAAATGATTCAATTTGCCCTCAGGACTCAAGACTTGAGAGGCAGGTATTCAAAACAACGAGCCACACCCCCTAGATCTGAATCCTGCCTCCAACCTCAACTAACTTGGCAAACCTGAAGGAACTTGGGTACCTGGGAGAAGGGGCATGATTTGGCCCTGGGGAGGGTGAGATAGACCAAGGTGTTGATTGTGTCTAAATCTGCGATGCTGATTTAGGTCAGTCACCTCTGAAGAGTTTCATTTTCCTCAGCTGTTCATTAAAAAACAGGGAGGAGGTTTGTAAAATCCACCTCAGGGGAGTTTTTAAGAGTTGCATTTCGATAATCCTTCTGAAAGTATTTAAGGTAACGTCTGATGTGCCGTAAGCATTCCGTAAATGCTGGCTGTACAAAATTGCAATACTAGGAATAATGTTATTTTAAACACTAATTACAGATCAGCGTCTCATCTTGACTTTCCGAGCATTTACTACTATTTTGATTTTTTCAGATTCTCAAAGGAAATAGGAGATAACTAAAAGGTTCAAAACACCTGTACTGGAGGCCTGAGAGGAGAAAAAAGGCCGAGATGGTGGGCACAGAGGTAAACGCCCCTGCCATCAGGCCCTGCGCACCATCCTGGGGGTTGCAGGGGGGATGTGAGCGACAGATAACCACCGCAACACTGGCAGAGCACTTACTCTGCCAGGCACTGTTCTCAGCGCTTTCAACAGATCACCTACTCTAATTCTCACGACAACCCTCTGAAGTAGGTGATTTCGTCATCGCCACTTCACAACTGGGGAAACTGAGGTCCTGGATTAAACCGCTAGCGCAAGGTCACATGGCTCATGAGACTGAGAACGCAGGTCCACTGGCTCTGGAGACTGCGTTCTTATCCACTGCACTTCGCTGCGTCCCCGCAGAGTGACGGGGAAGGAGGGGGTCATCCAGAGACCCCGACCGATCCGAAGCTGCGGGCGCGGCCGGACTCACCTTGGCGCTGTGCACCGCCTCCTGCGCCCCGCGAAGCTGCAACCAGATGCGCGCCGGCAGCGGTTCCTCGGTGCCGAGAGCACCAAGTACTGCCAGGCTCACACCGAACAGGCCCTCGATGCGGTCGCTGCTCTGCTCCAGCAGCGCCGCCTTCTCGGCGGGCGCCGTGAACTCATCCAGCACCGCCCGGGCCGCCATGGCGGGTGCGGCCTCCCGCGGCGGCGCCGGGGGCCGGCGACGGCGACGCCCCCTCAGCGTGCTGCCGCAGCACCAAAACCCGTCAGGTGGCGTCGGCCCTCGCTAGCCGCTTCGCTCCCGCCCGCGCCCCGCCGCTCCACCGCAGGCCCCACTACAACATCTCTCCACGGCCCCAGCAGCTAGGCAACTGCGGGCAGCGAGACCCTTCGCCGCTGTCGCGGGCCGGGCCCCGCCGCCGCGCATGCGCCCCGCCTGCCGCCGTCATCTAGGCTCGCCGCCTTCGTGAGGTGGGGGGGAGGGGGAGGGGAGGGGAGGGCGGAGGCGACGAAAAGATGTCACACACTGCCGCCATGTTAGTTGAGGGCAAAGCGATGGCTCCAGTGAGGATCCTGGACGGCCTTGTTTGATGAGTGTCTTATGCCTTTGGGTGACTGGAGAATGCGTGGATTTCTAGATTTATAGATGAAGAAATTGAGACTCAGAGCCTGGATGCCCGATGGACCCAGTGTCACCCAAAGGAGTTGACTTGATCTCAGCCTAAAACAGGGCCTTATCAATTGAGTTATCCAGTTCTTCATTAATAGGCAGATAAGACTTTTCTTCCTCCCTCTCTCCCTTCGTTTTTTCCTTCTTACCTTCCATCAAAAAATGAAGAGAGGAAACGGGAATAATCGTAGAGAATTTTAAAACAAGGAAATGATTAAGACATTTAAGACAGCGGGTTCTTCTGGAAGGGGTGCGTTATAGGAGAGGAACAAAAGCAGCAAACTGGAGGCACATCCACTATCTTACTGCAGGATCTTAGACACATAATGGGTTCTGGGACTGTTTTCCCTATAATATCAAGAGTTGTACCCAGTCATCTCTAGACCTTTTCCAGGTGTTACAATCCCAAAAACATTATGGAAGATAACATGTCAGTTTCTGTCCTGTAAGCCAAATGTTATGGGTGGGTTAGAAGAAAAAAGACTCCAGATTCAAACATGCTCTATAGAGACCCTTTTATTAAGCCTTAAATAGGACAAAGACAAAATAAATATAATCATCTGGATGAGGGAAACATCAGCGTGCAAATAGTAGTAGCAACAAATAGTAGTTGTTGTTAGGTGCCTTGAGTGGGTTCCAACGTAAAGCGACTAATGGCAGTGGGATGTACAACAGAATGAAACACTGCTCCTTCCTGTGCCAGCCTCACAATCCTTGCTATGCTTGAGCCCATCTTGTAGCCACTGTGTCAGTCCATCTCACTGAGGGCCTTCTTTTTCGATGACCCTGTAATTTACCAAGCATGAGATCCTTCCCCAGAGACTGGTCCCTTCTGACAATATGACCAAAGTACTGAGATAAAGTCTGGCCATTCTCGTTTCTAAGGAGCGTTTCAGTTGTACTTCTTCCAAGACAAGTGTGTTGTGTTCACTCATCTGTCAGTCCATGGTATTCTCAATATTCTTCACGAGCACCATAATTCAAATGCATCAATTCTTCTTCGCTTTTCCTTATTCATGAATATCACACAGTAGAGGGAGAAGGAATCTGCTGACTCACAGCCATGATTTCCATATACATCAGAGAGAACAAAAGAAATCATCACAAGATCGTAATTGGCGGTAGGTCAATTCATTACTGTTGCAGGCAGGACTACAGAAGTGGGGAAAGGACCATGATGGGGATAAGTACATAATTGCAGATTGAAAAAGTTCTGGGGCTTCCACCACCTGGCTATGTGGTGGGTGAAGCGGAGGTATGACTCATGATCATGAGACCCTGAGTCAGAGCCATCAAGTGGCTACAAGACAAAACCAGGACCCCAACCCCCAACTTAAATTAGATAATGTGTGTGATTGGCTACTTTTGGTAAATGCCCAAGCAGGTTTCCTAGTTCTTTGTGTGAGTGCCTTTCTGCACACCAGTTAATCTAGTTTCAACTACACTCTTCTCGAGGGCAAACTGCCCCTCCCTGGGTTTGCCCCAGACTTGTCTAAGCATAGCTGCATTGCTGGTTTAATGGCCAGCAAGCATTGGGGACGTAACAAAGAACTCAAATGGCATCTGAACGTGATGTCCAGAACCCAGATGGCGTTAGGGATCCTGCTGTAGACCACAGCCTTCCACAAACCAAGTGCTTTAGAATTTAAGCTAATGCAGGGTATAGTAGATGGGGACTGTGGAACCATTAACTTCTCTATGTTGTAATTTCCTCATCTGCAGAATGCTGGTAATACGAGTACTTACTTACCATGTTCTAGGAGCTCTGGTGGTGTACTGCCTAAGGCATTTGACTGCTAACCAGAAGGCTGGCAGTTCAAACCCACCAGCCGCTCCTCAGAAGGAAGGTTGGGCAATCTATTTCTGTAGTGATATTGTTATCGGACCAAATGCGGTGGGCAGTCAGGCCAAAATAGTTTCTACACCGAGATTGAGAGGAGAGAAATTTATTTATTGCAAACCAGCAGTACAAGGAGTTAGGGGTAGTTTAGTACCCAGATCTAGCTCCCCAGGATGCCATCGAAAAAACAGTTTTTGTAGGTTTCAGGAGAGGGGGTTGTGCATACAGAAGGTTGAGGAATTTGGGGTGTGAACTTGAAATGGTAGGGGATGGGTCACACTAGTTTGATAGGGGCTCAGGCAGAGGGGAGAGGTTCGGCAATTAACTTTTGCTCCTTTTGTCCTATTGCATGTCCCAGAGCTAATTTACAAATTGTTTCTAAAATACTTCCCTTCTGCCCTATTGCAGTTGTTTCTAGCACACTTCTATTGTTTCAGCTAGAATTAATTTACAAGTTACTTCTAAAATACTTTGAGCAAGTATCATCTGCAGGAAGGAATGTTTTCCATTCAGTTCTTTAAGGCACTGAATACTCATCTGCCCCGGTGGGAAAATGTTGTTGTTGTTATTTGCCCGACTCATAGAGACCCCTCCTTGGGTTTCTGAGGCAGTATCACTAAGGAAGTAGGAATGGCCAACCTTCCTGGGTGGGAAAATAGTTGGGGGTAATTTAGTTTACTTATGTTTATTTATCTTTTCTCATCCAGGTGCCAGGGTGGGGAAAATAGTTTTTACTTTACTCAGTTTCAATACCTCCTTGGAAACCCAAGGAGGGGTCGCTATGATTCTATGATTCTCGGGTCTGACTCAAGTGAGAATTCATTTTGATGTTGTTGTTTTGTGCCATTGAGTCTGACCCAACTCATAGCGACCCCTCCTTGGGTTTCCAAGGCGGTATCACTAGGAAGTAGATTGCCCCATCTTCCTTCTGAGGAGTGATATAGTTCCTGGATATAGTAATGGATCACTAAATATTAGCTACATTTATTGCTAAATTTACAATGTACTTAAGGCTCAATTTTTATGAAAAAGATGGTTCATGTAGCTTATCCAACTATATGTTTGAACTTGGTGGGCCTGGGAGCCAGCACCATCTCCGTAGATTTTCCCTTGAGGAGAAAAAAGGGGATCTGGTGGTGTAGAGGATAAGGCATTTTGCTGTCTGGAAGGTCAGCAGTTCAAACCCACCAGCCACTCCATAGATGGGGCAGTCTGCTTCCATAAAGATTTACAGCCTTGGAAACCCAATGGAGGTCACTGTGAGTCGGATTCAACTCGATGGCAATGAGTTTGGGTTTTTATTATTATTATTATTTGTTTGTTGGTTTGTTTTTTAAAAGATGTTGGAGGGGCTCTCATAGTGTAGTGTTTAGCATTTGGCTGCTAACCAAAAGATGAGTGGTTTGAACCCACCAGCTGCTCTGCAGATGAAAGATGAGACGATCTGCTTCCATAAAGATATACAGCCTTGGAAACCCAGTGGAGGTTGCTATAAGTTGCATTTGATTCGATGGCAACGAATGAAAAATGTTGAAGGAGTCCTGGTGGCTTAGTAGTTAAAGACTGGCTGTTTGGACCCACCACCCGCTCCATGGCAGAAAGATGAGGCAGTCTGTTTCTGCAGATTTACAGCCTTGGAAACCCTATGGAACAATTCTACCCTGTCCTATTGGATCATTATGAGTCAGAATCGACTCGAGGGGAAGTGGGTTTGTTTTTGGTTTAAAGATGTTGCAGTTGGAAATACCAATGGGCAATAGTCTTGGTAAAAGGGATTATTCAAGGTGAAACCTGTCAGGGATCCTGGCTGCTGGGGTTTTCCATGTGCCATAGAAACTCAGGCAAGTAGAGCCACTGAAGCCTCAGAGGAATGACTCAGTTAAGGGAAGGTAACCACTGGACTCACAGACCAACAACTTCCTGCTCCCCTGGACTTTTCCCTTGGTGTCCACACTGCTGCAGCTGCCTTGCTCCATCAGGTAGATGAGCTGGGATTGGCTGAAGCAAGTCAGGTGGTGAGCCTGGCCTTGCCTGTAGATTGCACTCAGAACTGTAGTCAACATATGTGTTATTTCCTGTCTTATTGTCCTAACCTTAAATGGAGATGCTGTTGTCTAGTAATTGAACAGGGCTTTCCCCAGGGCTAGTTCCTCTCTGCTCCCAGTGACTTCTCCACCAGCAATTCTTAATTGCTTAATTGTAGGCTGTGAAGAAGGAAGTTGCCTTGAAAAGTGACAGCATACAACAGCCCTCTACACCCCACTCCCCTGAAAATGCTCCCTAAAACAACAAAAGTAGTGCATACACAGCCATAAAAGCCAGGACATTATACTGTGTACATAAGTCACTGGGTTGTTGCATCAGCCAAGATTTATATTTTGGGATCCTTCCTCCTTTAGAAAAAGCCCTGGTGGCACAATGGATAAAGTGCTCATCTGCTAACCAAAAAGTAGGTGGTTGGAACCACCAGCTGCTCCATAGTCAATTCTACTCTGTCCTAAAGGTCCCTATGAGTTGTAATAGACTCGATGGCAGTGGGTTTTGGGTCCTCCTTTAGAAGTCTTGCCACTTCAGCCTTTCCCTTTAGGAGATTCTCAAGGTTCCCTGAGGAAAGGGGAACAAGGAGAAAAAGAAATCCCCCTTCAAGAGACTCCTTTGCTTCATGCAGTTCTGAACCACAACTTCCCTCTGTTGACCAACTTTGGCGGCTGGCTGGCCTTACAAGCTCAGAAATGCTAAGGATGAGACTCAGGCTCTTTCTATATTTTTCTTTGATCTCCACAACCCCATGAGATAGGTATTAGAAGACATCACTTATTTCCACAGGGTGGGGGTAGGGGGATTCCCACTCTACTCCCCTCCAAGGCCAAGTATGGAGGAACATATCCAGCCTCCATCCACCT